CCCCACCCCACCCACCCCACTGAAATCAGAGATCATTGAGGGCGGTCGCCTCCTCAGTACATATCTCTGGATCCCCACAGGAGCCCAGTGTCCTGCATGTAGTAGGCGCTCAGTAAACGTTTGCGTGAAATGATGCCCAGGTCAGACTAATTCAGAGAAGCAGCAGATAGGAGGCTGCTGGCCGGAACACCATAGGTAGGGGAAGGGGCAAGATCTGGCCAGGGGCGGCAGGACACCAGACCGGGCAGCTTCTTATCGGACCCAAGTCCGACGCTTCGAAAGGCCAAAACTCAGAACCTCAGAGCCTGGAGTAAGGAACGGCTTGTTGATGGAGAAGGCGCCAGCTGAGAAGACGGGAGACCTAATGGTGCCTCAAATCCATCTTAAGCAGATATATAAAACTAAGTAATAATTACGCTGAGATACAATTTTTCCCATCCCTCGTCTCCCCACACACTCGTTGTTATCCTCACCGCCCGGCTGGTTGCAGAACTTTGGGGTGGGGGGTGGGGGATCACAACTCAGTCCAATGACACCCGCTGAACCAGAATCTGCGTTTTATGAGGTCCACAGGGGATTCGTGTGCACTTTTAAGACTGAGAAGCCATCTTTGGAAAAGAAATGGCAGTGGGTGGTCAGTGTGTACGTGTCACTTTGTATATTATCGGAGGAACATATTCCACATTAAACTGGCTTCCCGGGCCAATGTTTTTTGTTATGGGTTGAGATAAACTGATATCATCATCATAAAAGCTACCAGGCCTAGAGGACCTGTATGTGCCCAGCCCTTTGCTGAGTACTTCACTTGTTTTACCTTATTCAATCCTCACAGTAACCCTATTAGATGAGTATTATCATCCGATTTTACAGGTGAAGAGGTTGAGGCTAATTACTTGAGGAAAGATAAGTAATCTGCCCACGGGCTCACTGGGAAACGTTCCAGTCGGGATTGGAACTCATCTTCCCAGCCAGTGGTCCTCAGAGTGGAGTGCCCGGGCCAGCGGCATCAGTATCACCCGAGAACTTGTGAGAAATGCACGTTCTCCGCCGCCCGTGGCTGACTGAATGAGAAATCCTGGAAGTGGGGCCCAGCAATCGGTGTTTTATCAAGTCCTGCCGATGATTCGGACGTGCTCGCAAATTTGAGAACCACTATTTGAAGCTCTACGCCCTTCCAATCAATGTATGCGAGACAACATTGGTGACTTGGCAGGGAAACCTCCTCTCAAATAAAAAATGACCGAATCAAACAGGTAAGGGCACTGGGGACTGGCCCCGCTTGTGGAAGCCCATCAGCTTGGCTCACTGCCCAGTCAGCCTATGCGTTCCTTTCAGAGCGTGGGCCTGGCTCTCCCCCTGCCTCACCTCCCTGCCTCTCTCTAATTTGGTTGTTCCTCCCCCCTCGCCATTGCTCCCCAGACATCATCATATCACCATCTGGGGGCTCAATTTTTGTTTTTGAACTAAATGTTTGTTTTTTATTTTTGAGTTTTAGTGACTGGAAGGCTCCAAGAAATTGGGATGGGAGAAGAGCCCTGAATGGGATGACAAAAAGGCATAGGAGACACTAGGTTGACAAAGCTTATTAATGTTTCTTTTATTTTTTTTAAGAATTTATTAGGGAATTGGGGGAGGGGAACAGACAAGTTGCTGTCCTTTGGTTCTTCAGTCTAGTTGTGGAGGATGTCGCTCCACTGGCCCATGTTAGTATTATCATTGTGCTTTTCTTCCCGGGTGAGGCAGATCGGTCGCCGGTCTCTGGACAGCCGCTCACAGCGGCTCTTGGCAGCTCACACTGGCTGCCGGTCACATACGGTAGCTTATGGCAGCCCACTGCAGCCCTACTGCAGCCTATACCGTCCCCAGCGACTCACGGCAGCCCCGCTCCGGGTCGAGCTGTTGTTCACCATCTTAGCTGTAGAGGTCGCAGCGTCACTGGCCCTAATGTGGGATTCGAACCAGGGCCCTGCTGGTGTCCTAAGCCAATTCCTAACCAATGTGCCACTCGACCGGCCCCCTTTAATATTTCTTGAGATGTGAGCAAACAGTTGATTCTTTTTTAACTGAGGTTTGGGGCTGTTACACTGTATTTCTTTAACAGGCAGTGTAACTCCAGGCCTAAGTACCAGGATGTATGACTCCCCAAGAGTTACATATGATGAGGGCGCGCAGGGGTATGCTTGTGCCAGTGGAGTGCCTGCCCCACATTCTCCAGGATCCTAGGGCTAAAACATAAGAGTTTGTGTGCTGGAAAGCAAGTTTCAGGGACAGCTACACTGGATCCATAAAATTAGTTAGACTCAATCAAGAACTAGGCTTAAACACCTGCCATTATTGAGTGCCCACTGTATGCCAGCAAATCCCCACATTTTCTTTCAACAATCCCTAAAGCAAGTTGTTACTTACCCTATTTTACATCTGTAGAAACTGAGGCGGCTTAGGCCGGCTTCCCAAAGTCCTCAGCTTTCTTCCTCTTCTTCCTCCCACATTACTAAGGGGCCCCTTGATCTTGGCTGGAGGTTTCACATCTTTATTATGGGTGGATCCTTATTCTCATCCACTTCGTGAGGAAAGCAGGTCAGGGTTTAGGATTCCCATTCAACAGATGAGAAAACAGCTTCAGAAAGGAGATTCGAGCTAACTAAACCTTCTGGAGACAGACTCGCGTGTGTGGTGGGCTCATTCAAGAAGCTGGAATCCTGGCTGAGGGCCCAAGGTGGGGAGCCTGGCCCAGCATTTAAGATCCCAACGGTGTTGGGGGCCGCCCCACTCCTTTACCTGCACTTCATCACCCCTAGGGGCGCTGCGTCATCCTCTCAGCCAAGACCTGATTCCCTCTTTACAGAAGCAGGGCCAGCAGGGGACAGCAGGGAGCAGCAAAGGCAGCCACTGCCCCTCAGGGCCTCCCAGCAGACTGGAAGTCATCCATCCTGTGCTTAGCTGGCCGGCAAGGAAACCCAGGTCCAGATGGGAAGTTCAAGATCATCCACATGTCGGACAGACGGAGGCATAGAGCCCAGGCTTCCTGTTGAGAGCCATCAGGTGGTCACACTTTATGATGGTGCCTGATTTCATCCATTCCAAGACGCACATCTTTTTCATATGTTTACATTTCAGAAACCAGGATGCATCTTATATTTGATGCCAAGAGAAACGACTGCTGTTTATATGGCAATGCTGTTTATATGGAAATGGATTATTCCCTTTGATCATCATAACACCTCCAGGATGGAAATATTATTACCCTTACTTTGCAGGTGAGGAAACCAATCAGAGAGATAGTGGAACTAGACCACATTTGCACACCTAGTAATTAATGCAGCTGGTATTTCACAGGACTTACCTGGCCCATTGCTTCTAACTGTACTTTGTTCCTTCCACAACAAAAGATTCTGGGTCTTGCATAATAACACGCTTTCTTTAAAAATGCAAGTGGTTACAATCAGGTGACAGCAGGGGAAATTCCCTGAGGGCCAATATTGGTTAAAATCCAAATTGGAAGGGGTGGAGTGGGATGTGGAGTAGAATCCTGGACTTGGAGGAAGTCTGAGGTCAGAGGTGGGGTTGGGAGAGGCAGTATGCACAGGGAAGGCAGGAGAGGCTCAGAATGGGAGATGAGAAGGGCTGGGCAGATTCACCCTGAAAACCCCTCCTCTGTCATGAGGACTGACTCAGAGAATTAGGAACAATTCTCTAAATTCAGCCTACCTCTGCCACCCTGAGCATCTCCCCATTTGATCTCTGTTCTTTCTAGGGTAGGAGGAGAGTAAGAGAGAAAGCGAGAGAAGAAGAGTTGATTCAAGCAAGAATCCACTTCCTTCTTTTTTTTTTTTTAATTTTTTAAATTGGGGAATTGGGGGAAGGGGAACAGACAAGTTGCTGTCCTTTTGCTCTTCAGTCTAGTTGTGGAGGACGTTGTTTCACTGGCCCATGTTAGTATTATCATTGCGCTCTTCCCAGGTGAGGCAGATGGGTCGCTGGCCTCTGGATGGCTGCTCACAGTGGCTCTTGGCAGCTCACACTGGCTGCCAGCCGCTCACACTGGCTGCTGGCCACACACAGTAGCCCATGGCAACCCACTGCAGCAGGGGCTGCAGCCTACGCTGTCGCTGGAGACTCATGGCAACCCAGCTCCAGGTCGAGCTGTTGTTCAGCATCTTAGCTGTAGAGGGCAGTGTCACTGGCCCTCATGTGGGATCTGACCCGGGGCCCTGATGCTCAGAGCTGGCGTCCCAAGCCAGCTCTTTTAACCAACGCGCCACTCAGCTGGCCCCCCACTTCCTTCTTTGCACATTTAATTATCGGGAAGTCTAGTGCCTTTCTCTTCCTCTTATTATCGTTTTCCACCTAAATATTTTTAGAATTAGTTTACATGAAGATAAATATCCAGTGACAAGACCTAGTTTCATCTTTTGCATCTGGAAACTCTTGTCATCTATTGTTGCAGATGACATCCCTGGGTGCTAGGAGGAGGAGAAGGAACTAGCAAAGGAGGAAAGAGATCCAGCAAGGCTCAGTTCCCCACTGGTCACTCAGCAGAGCATCCCTACCTGCTGACCATAGCCAGGTGCCCACTGTGAGGGAAGGTACATTCCACGCATTCTACTGGGCCTTCCAAAACCTTCACAGGAAAGGCTCAGAGACACTGAGCGACCTGCCAAAGTTGCCTCAACCAGGATTGAACCTGAATCTGAGTCTTTCACTTTAAAGCCCAAGCTGACCCACTACACTGACAAGCTCTCTAGGCACCTGTTCTCTGGTCCAAGGGCTGCACCCTGCCTCCACCACCACAATGTTTGAGGTTGTGGCTGGGTATGGAGCCCCTTTTTCTTTCTTTCTTTCTTTTTTTTTTTTAAGATTTTATTGGGGGAATTGGGGGGAAGGGAACAGCACTGGGGAATTGGGGAAGGGGAACAGACAAGTTGTCCTTTTGTTTTTCAGTCTAGTTGTGGAGGACGTCGCTTCACTGGCCCATGTTGGTATTATCATTGCGCTCTTCCCGGGTGAGGCACATTGGTCGCCAGCCACTGGATGGCTGCTCACGGTGGCTCTTGGCAGCTCACCCCGGCTGCCGGCCGTGGAGCCCCTTTATCACTTGTAGCCTTCTCCTGGCTTCAGCCCTGAAGCTGGACTCAGGCTCTGATGCTTCCAGAGAGATTTATATCTGTGGGTAAAGGAGTGTACATGTAGGAGGTATGTCAATAGCCTACCCAGACTACGTCCCCAGAAGCTTCCTGGGCAGCAGGAAATGATCCCCTCCCCTGGCCACTCTACCTACTGGGGATGCAAGTTAGGTAGGACAGTAAATAATATCAACCTGTAGCTCTATAACTTTATAACTTCATCAAGTACATTTCTCATCCATTAATCTATTTGGTCCTGATATCAGAAGGCAACAAGTAATATCCTTCTGGTTCTACAGGCAAAGAAAGTGAAGCCCAGAGAGGTTAGGTAGGGTCTGCAGGGTCAGAGGAAGAGATAGACACTAGGCTTGTGCCCTACATCATAAATCCCAGGACTAGTACTTCCCAATCAGCCACCTTGTCTTCACGGGGCTCAGGCCTGGGAGAGTTACCTGGATTTTGTATTTTCTTTCCTCCTGACTCAGCACAGGGGGGAGGAGATGGAGGACTGAGGGAAAGGTAACTCCAGAGACCTTTGGCGGGGGAGGGGAATCAGCAGAGGACCAGAAGAGGATGCTGAAATCCTGGAAAGGATGGAGGGAAAAAAAAAAAAAAAACAGAGAGAAAAGTTAGTTGACTTCAGAATTGTCCCTGGAGGCCACTGAGACTCAGAGCTAGGGTGGGAAGGTGTCTTCTACCTGCTCAGGACCTTGGAGAGAAAGGTACATTACAGATATTCCCTAGGAGGCTTGGGAAGACCACCACCCTCCTCCCCAAGGCAGGGGGTTCTGCCCAGTTGCCTTGGTAGTGGCCACATTGTGAGGCAGTTCTGGTGACAGGCAGTGGAGTTGGGCTGAGAGGAGACAGACGTGGTGGGGGGGGTGGTAGCAGCGTTCTGGGCTCTGCTGGCCCCAGCCTCTGCCTGGGACCTTCTACCACCCCCACCATCATGGGCAGTGCTTACCACTGGGAGGCCCGCCGCCGGCAGATGGCTTTGGATCGGAGGAGGTGGCTGATGGCCCAGCAAGAGCAGCAGCAACAGCAACAGCAACAGCAGGTGCATGAGAGGGGCCAGGTTCATCAGTGTCCTTCCAGGGACAGGAAGGGAATGGGGGAGGAAGACAGATCCCTAGGAAGCTGTCTATTATCTGGTGAATGTTGTTCTGCTGGGGGTAGGTGGAAGGCAAGGTCCTTTGATGTTCTCTTGGATGGACTCTGTATATGTGGGTTTGTGGTGGGGTGACTCAGCTTTGCTGTTGTACTAGGCTGAGGCCTAGTGGGGAATTGAGGGGGCTCAGGCCTGGGAAGTTTTAAAGCTGTGCTGTCCAATAGGGTGGCCACCAGCCTGTGTGTTAATGAGCCCTTGAAATTTGGCCAGTGAGACTGAAGAACTGAATTTAAAATTTTATATACACTTAATTCATTTAAATATCAATTTTAAAACAAATACTCAATGTACCTGTTGGAAAACTTTGTTTGGAACTGAGATATATGAATCCACTTTTTCAACTGCAAATTTTATGAAGCCTAAATCTAAATTAATTATTTTTGCTGAAAATAGTGTCCAAAATAAGATGTGCTGTTAAGTGTGAAATGCATGCTGGGTTTTGAGGACTTAGGACAAATACAAAGAATATAAAATATGTATTGTTTTCATATTGATTACATGTTTTGGATGTATTGGGTTAAATAAAATATATTATTAAAATTAGTTTCACCTGGTTCTTCTCACTCTTTTTATGTGGCTACTAGAGAATTTAAAATTACACGTGGCACGCATTATATTTCTATTGGACAGTGCTGTTTCAAAGCACTTGCAAAACTATTCTTTATCCTCAGTACTGCAAACTGTTTTCAGTGCACAGCTCCCAAGCTAGGAGGTAGGTGCTCAGAGACTGCTATTTCCCGGGCAGGATCTGTGCCAGGGGACACTGTCACCAGAGAAACAGTTCTCAGGTGTTGTGGTGGGTGAAGGGAGGTAGCCCACCCTCTAGCCTCAGGCTCCGACTCCAGGAAACAGAGACCCTCTGGCCACCTCTGCCTCTGGATTCCCTTGGAATGCTCCTCGCAGTGTGTGGCAGATGGGTGACTGGGTGGGAGGCAAGAGGATGTCACTTGCCTGGGCTTCTTGCCAGGAACTGAAGAAATTCCAAGAGAAGGAATGCCAATCAGAGAAAAAACCCCAGCCATCTCAGGAGTCCGGGCAGCTGCCACGGCCATCATTGGTGCAATCACAGCCCCAGCCCGCACAACCACAGTCACCCCAGGGGAAGAAGCTGCCCTCAGAGCAGCCGCCGGCGCAGGTGCAGCCACAGCCGCCTCACCCGCCACAGCCACCACCTCAGCCAAGACAACAAAATGCCCAGGATCCTCTTACTCAGTACACCACCAAGTGCCATCTCCAGGATTCCCAAAAACCTGGTCTCCAGCTTGGCTCAGTGGAGACCCATCAAGCTGGAGGGCAATCCAACTACTTTAACAACAAATTCCAAAAAGGGCCGAAAATCCCTCAAGACCCTAGTAAGTGGGGGGCCTGAAAAGGGGAGGTGCTGGGGAAAGAAGCCCCTTGCTCCCATCCCAGCCCATAGTCCAGAGTCCACATCAGTCAGCCCACCCTCTCTGACTCTCCCCAGCACCCTTGGCCTTTACTTGGGGACCACTCCCTCTGAGCATGTTTGCAACAACCTAGGGCTGCAAAGAAGGCTGCCAGCTTCTACAGAGGGTGGCTGAGAAGTTGTCAGCTCTTCCTCCAGGGCAAGGGTGACAGAGGCGGGGAGGGTGATCGGGGGTGGGATATGAGTTGTAGGCTTAGTAACAGATATACCAAGCCCTGGGAGGCCTGGAACAGGGAGTCACAGCACGACTTCCTAGTTGAGAACTTTCATGGTGGGCTCAGTCTGTGCCTTGCCCCAGGTAGGGGCCGCCACCTGCCCCCCACCGCCACTCTCTCCAGTCACTTAGCAGAGTCCAGCTCTGCCATGTTCGAGTCTCAGAAATGGCCAGATGAGTAACATGTGCTTTGTTTCATCATCAGGTTTCAGGAAATCAGACCAGTGTAGCCCAGATAAATACACCAAGTACCCACGATTCACGGTGAGACAGTGTGAAAGGCAGGTAGTCTCTGGCTGCCTGCCTGAGGGTGTGCTTGTGTGTGAGCGCGCGTGGAGTCTAGAGAGGCGTCCTTGGCAGGAGTGGGGGGAAGGGGCTGCAATTGTTTCAAGGTCATTTCTGGATGGCCCAGTCCTCTGTTCCTTATCACCTAAAAATGTCTAAGTAAGGCCTGTTGTTCATCCGCACTAAGCATGAGTGGAGGGGTTGACAATGGAAAGATACTTGAAAAATAAAGGGGCTGTTTTTAGGAGCTGACTGAGGTAGAGGCAGCTGGAGCAGGAGGAAGGCGAAGACCTGAAGTCAAAGGTTGTTGGTCTCAGTCAGGATCACCACTCCCTGGTAGTGTGATTTAATCTGAGCCTCAGCTGCTCCATCCATAAAATAAGAATAATACCACATCCTTAATAGAGGTATCATGAGGACAGTTTGTGGCAATTACAAGAGAAGCCATCGAAAGCACTTAGCTTAGAGCCTGGCTCATTCCTAGCCCTTTCAGGGTAAGGACTGGGCTGTTAACATTTCACTTCGAGTCCTCTGGCCTCAAAAGGCTTAATACAATGTTCTGAAACCAGCAAGCCCAGAAACTGCTAACTAACTTGTTTTGCCTCCTGTCTTTCCCTCTTCTTAGTCGATGAATTACATACAGCAGTGGTGATCCAGATAAGACCCCAAGACCCCACTGGCCATCAGTAAAAAACAGATGAGCAGCCCCACCTTCTCACCACCCAGCAACATCTCCATCTAAAAGCCACTCCCTCCTGTTCCATTCTAAGAGGCTAGCCGGGAATAAAATGTGATTCCTTCGTGGAAAGAATTGAAACTGGTCAGCTCTGTGAGACTGAGATGAGAAAGGGGCAGGAAGGCCCAGGAAGGGGATGGAGAGGGTGGGAGAAGAAAGTGGGAGGCAATTCCATGCTTCTCTAGGCAAAGCCAATGGAAGGACTTGGCCTTGGACCCCCAAGTCTACAGCTCCACTACTGGCCCTTTTTTAGCAATGATAATTCTGTTGGGGGTTCAGGTTTATGACTCTCAGGAGCCATCACACCTTCCTTCTAGCTGATGCTTACTGCGGTATAGCCGGGGAAGGAGGGGCTGCCTCCCACCAGAGCAGGCCTGGGCAGCAGTAGGAAGAGGTGGCAGGCAGGGACCCCCAAGTTCAGTGTAATGCCTGGCCTACAGTAGACACTCAGCTATTGAGTGGATGATGGGAGGCAGGAATGGAGAGAAAGAGCTTAAAGTTAAGGGGATATATAGCTTCAGGCACAGGACACCGGACCCTGGGAAGGGAACGGGGACTGGCCAACAAAAATCCACAGGCTTCTTCCTTCCTGGGTCTTAGTCTTTCCATGGAGCAGACAGCCAAGAGGCTCCAAAGGCCCAAGCATCCCCCTCACCACTTCCTGAAGCTGACGCCAGGGTCCCCCAGCCCAGCTCCCTCTTTCAGCTGGGACTGGGTCACACAGGATCATCGCCTTTGGGTCAGACTGAAGGAGCCCCTCAGTGCAGTGTTTCCTGAGGGGAGCATCTGGGGGAGATATAAGGAGGAGGGGCACAGAACAGGAATATTGAAATTGGAAGGGACCTTAGAGATATGCAATGAGAGAGAGAGAGAGAGAACAAGCTTTTTAGTAGCCATCCCTCAGAAGCCGGAAAGGCAGGACATATTATCAAGGAGCTCAAGGCCTGGGGAAAAGAGAACATGTCCACCAGCTCCCTTCCCAGTCACAGGAGACCTTTTTTTTTTTTTTAAACATTGTTAAGTAGAGTTTATTGAATACAATATAAATTCTTTCCATTTGGTGACCTACGCACAGCAGAAGCTCTACCCTGGCCTTCCTGGACTTCTGTGCTCTTGCGGGCACCACTTTGACCCCAGTTACCCAGACATGAAAGCGTGGAGACAGCACAAGATCTTTCCCCTCGTTCCCCCAGCCAGCTAGTCACCAAGGTCTGTCACCACTTCTCCCTCTCCATCCATCCTACTTCAAGTTCAGCTTTGTTCACCTCCTAAGCTCATCTCTCTCCGCCTGCCTGAGTGATAAAAATCTTAGCCATCTGTAGTGAGCAAATACCATTCCTGCTCGGCTAAAGACAGAAACCGCCCCCACCTGGAGCCCAGTGGGACCTGGAGTACTTGGGCCTTAGCTTCCTCTGAGTGACAACAAAGAGGAGAGGGTCGAGACCAATCCCTACTGATGTGCTACTCCATACTGTCAATGCCTGAAGGAAAGCAGAGGCCTCTGGGAGCAAAGGGTGGGCCCTGGTGCAGCAGAGCCCAGCAGCTTGGCTGGATACTGACAGCTTCGCCTCTGCGGGATTTCAGGGGAGAGCAGGTAGGCCCTCTGTTGGACCTGCCTGGGTCCACAGGCATGGGCAAGGGTGTGGGCTCACCACCAGCCGGAAGCTCTCCTTCAATAAATACCCTTCAAAATGACTCTGGCTTTGTCTCTGTTTTTCCTGCATAGGCCCAAGGGGTCCCAGATGCCTCCCTCCTCATTCCTACTACTTTGGCTTCTGCTGTGAAGAGAATAAAAAAACTGTTTTATGGAGAGAGGCTTGAGCTGGGGAATAGCTCTGTCTTCCTAGGAACCAGGAGAGTCTTTATAACAGGAAGGATGGAGAGCCAAAGGGCCTCAGCCAATCCTGTTGTCAGATGGGCAGGGGCCAAGTTACCAGGAGGGTAGCAGACTATCACCATCACTTTGTCACAGGACCAAAGCAGGGAAGCACAGGAGAGCATCTATGTACCCTGAAAGGCCCTGGCGATAACACTGGATGTCCCCCACTTTGCTTTCCCATCACTGGGTGGGGAACTTGAAAAGGATTCATGCTTTTAAAGCCTGATAATTAAAGGTTTTCTCCCAGAAGGACAGCTCTGAGGAGTTGGGCAACCAAGGTGCTCAGAACAGAAAAGGCAGGGGCCACTCCAGGAACTCGCAGGTAGCTCTGAGAAAGTGTCAGGTGAGACTTTCCTCAAGATAGACCAAGGGGAAAACCTGGTTCTGGCCGTTAGAAGAACCAGGCTTCTGTTCCTATGGAAATCAGAGAGAGAGAGTGCGTGTGTGTGTGTGTGTGTGTGTGTGTGTGAAATTAACTTCCACAGAAAGCTTCCCGTGTTGAGGGTGTAGGGATGGATGGGAGAGTATGATAAAGCAGTGCTTTTCCTTTGGCAAAGACACCATCGTCCTTCCTTGGGCAATGTGGAGTTGTGAGAGATACAGACCAGGCTGGCAGGTGGTCTAGAGTTTGGGGACAGCAGGCAAGTCACGGCGGGTGAGGGACCAGCAAGTGGGGCACCGACATGTTTCCCCGGCAGTCCACATAGTCATCGCTCTGAAAAACCAGCTGCTGTGAACGGCTCAGGCAGGTATAGGTCAGGGTGCCCCTGGAAAGGAATCAGGCTTTGTTGCTATGTCTGGGAGGAAGGGGAAAGCTCTGGCCCCTCTCTGCTGTCTGGGGAGGGTTGGCTTCCTGAGATCCGCCCCCCTTCCTGGTGTTCCCTACTCTGCTAAGGCACCTGGGACTGCTGCCCCACCTGTGTTCCAGACAGTTCTGTGGCTGTCACACTAATAGTTTATAAGCAAGGTGGGACCTAGAGAAGGGGCTGGACCTGCTATTCCCAAGAACAGATTCAGGGGTCAGCTTGGAGGAGTCTCCTGTTCCCACAAGGGGGAGCGGAGGAGAGACTGGAGTCAGAAGTGGGAGGGGATACCAGGGCTCCAGGTCATACTTACTGAATGTGCAAAAGCACATGGTGGACTTTGATTTCCAGCCGGGTGCAGATTTTGCTGAGAGACAGAGAGAAAGAGAGAGGGAGGGAGGGTGAAAGTGAATCCAGGAACACAGTTCACACAGAGCAGCCTGTCAGAAGGCTGAAGAGGCCTGCAGGTCCCAGCCTCATCCCCTGGGCCCCTTTCCATCAGGGGCCCCACTCCCACCCCTTCCCTGTCTCTCCCTCTGCCTAAGGAGAGTATGTCACCCTTGCTGCAATATCACTCTTCCAATCCCCAACAGCTTTGCCCAGGTACATGTCAACCCCTCCCTCGGCACAAAACAAGACACTTATCTTTCTCAGCAATTCAGGCTGCAGAGCCCAAGGTCACATGTTCTAAGGATTAACTAAACTCTAGCCTGCTTTTCATTTCAATCTAGGTCCAAGCGGGCAGAGGCTGGGGAACCTGAACCCTTGCACACCGCGGTCTCGGCCATAAGCACAGGCCAATGCTGGCTGCAGAGTTTGCTCAACAATCAGAAAATCTGTGGAGATTAAAACTGGGTTTCTAGCCAGGATAGAGGCTGAGAGGGAAGGGATCAAGGGATACTCACTATGTGTTTTCATCCTGGATCCTGTTGGCTACTGCATAAAACATCTGTCAACCAAATGGGCAGAGGGTTAGCTCCAACTCCAGCTGTCCCCTTCCCACCACCACACACATTCACACACCCGCGGGCAGGAGTGGCCAGGGAGAGGGAGTCACCTGTTTACTGGCCAAAGGGCCGACGTGTAGGAGGAGGCTGTTGGAGACCTGCCCCACCACGAGGGACACGTGCAGAACCTCGATGGTCAGCTGGGTCACAGTGATGGGATAGTAGTTACTATTCGAGATGTTCAAGATATACTGGAGATGAAAACAAGGAAAGGGAGGGGTGAGGGTGGCCATCCTTGGAAAGCAGAAGTCAGTTTCAAAAAATCCCTGGCCTGACTGAGCCCCACCCCCAATACGGGCCTCAGCTGCTGAGGACCAGTGCCAGGAGCCCCGCGTAAGGGCTCTTAATGGTGAGGGGTCGCGTTTAACTAAGACATTATGCTGGCTCAGGACCCAGTCTCACCCTGCCCACCCAGGGAGTCTCAGGCATGCCACCCCCGTTACACCTTGTGATTTATTCCTTGGGCTATGATTCCAACTCTTCACTGTGGAGGGTCCCCATTCTACACAATCTGTTATGGGGCTCGTGGCCACCCCTGCTTCTCCCGAGGTTTCTGGGTGCCATAAGATCCCTGGCTACCCATGCCCAGAGTCACAACACTGGACAAGGGCTACAGAGGAGTACTGCTGGGAAGGTGGGGTCAGAGCCAGGGGGGCACCAGCACCCACACACCGTTAAGTTGAGATGAATATCAGCCTTGTCAAAGGCCACGTTGGAGGAGTTGAGGCCTGCGGGCCGTGCTGAGGGGGTTCGAGGAAACAGGAAAAAGATGATAACGGAGGAAGTCACCAGGCAGATGAGCACTGCCAGGAACACGAAGAGCTTCCTGTGGAAAAGCAAGACCCGGGTGGAGTGGAGAAGTCTGAACACCAAGGAAATCAGGCAGGGGGCATTCAGACACTCCTCTCCATATACAATGCTCTCTCCTGCCCTGACACCCTAACTGTACATTTAGCCCCCTGGATGTGGAGGACCAACTTACACTCAGATGTGGCGCAGAGCAGGTGGGAGCACAGGACTGGGTGGCAGGTAGCCTGGCTTCCATTCCCAGCTCTCTGTGTCCACTGGCCCAGAAACTCTGAGCAAGCCTAAGCCTCCCTTTTCTTGTCCGTAAAATGGAGATAATTATATCTACTTCACAGAATTCGTCATGGGCTAATGCATGAAAAGTGCTAATCCCAGGTCCTGGCACACAACTAAAGCTCAGCAAATGCTAGCTGTTACCACGGGAAAAAGTGAGCCCACGTGAATTTTGAGAGTTCTGAATTTTAATATTTAGAACATAACATCATCTGTCCATCTAATTGAAAAACTGAGATGGACATTAAGAGATCGTAAGTATTTCATGAAGGGCCCTGCTGGATTTGGATTCTGGTGTAGTGGTGGGGAAGGCTGGGGGGTGACTCCCAGACTGAAGCTGAGGATCTTGGGAGGAAGTTAGAGGGACGCATGGCAAATGGACCCAGAAGACAAACAGGGTCACAGGCCTCCCCCCGTGAAAGTCAGGGCTGCCTTTGAGGTTCTGAAGTGTCTCAGAACAGAGGCAACAGCTGGTTTTCCATCTCTACTGGGAAGAGAACAAGCCACAGCAAGAGACGCTCTTAGGAAAAATAACTGCCCCAAAACAATTGCAGCCGGGGCCTCTCCCTCCCTCCTGGAAGGCCTTGTGGAGTCCAGAGGCTCTCTCTGTCTCTGAAAGAGAGCCATGCTTTTTGGGAGCAGTGATGCTCAAGAGAAGGACACCAAGTGGCCTCAGGTAGCCATGTCCCCGATGTCTTAAACTAGGAAAATCCTTGGAAACAGGGCTAGTATGTCTGAGCCCAGTGAGGCTCAGGCTTTCTGAGGGAGAACCAATGGAGAAAACTTGGGGTGGGGGGAATAATGGGGAGACAAAGAAGAGCAGCCTCCAGGGGTGACAGCCTATGGAGTTGGGTAATAAGAGGGGCTTACGTGCGCCTGGGCTTCAGCCTCTGGTCCCCATAGGGGATGAGGGCCACCAGCTGCTTCTCTAGGTCTGTAGAGAGAAAGAAGTGAGAGAGGGCCAAGTGTCCACGACAAATGTCTCCTGTGCCAGCCTGCCAGAAGTACCCCTCCGCCCCACAGAGCTTTGTCGGAAGCATGCTGCCTCTGCCCCAGAGCAGGATTGGGAGCACTGACTGGGCTGTGCTGAAGCTGGCGGCTCAGCTTTGCCACCCCTAGAGTGAAAGTGAGATCTTCATTAACAGATGTGAAGGCTCTCTCTGCAAGTCACCAGCAAATCACAGCCTGGCTCCTTGGGAGAAGTCATTTGTAACTTCCTGAATCCTGAGGCACACTGTTGCTAAGGGAGCAGAGGCTGGAAATCCCCTGGGCTGGGGAGTACAGCCAGGCCAGGAGGGGTTAGCGTCTGCCTGATGAGCTGAACTGGGAACCAAGGGCTAGGAGACCCAACCCCATTCAAGGAGACTCAGAGGAGACTGGCCCTGGGCCAGCTGACTGCTAAGAGCTGGCACTGGATTCAGGCTATTTCCAGACCCTTGGGCCACTCACCTTGAGGGATCTCCCCACTTCCCTGGCAGGTGGGACAAGTCACAAAGCTGGTACCAGCAGCCCTTTGACAAGGCACACAGGAAGAAAAAGACTTGCTTCTACTATTGCTGGCATAGACGATAGCGTTGCTGTCACTGGCTGGGTCGTGGGGCAGGATCGACTTGTTTTCATCCTCCCGCGAGCCCAGCTGGGAGAATGTCTCACACATCTTTCAGAGGGCTTTTTCACTAGTATTAGAGAAAAGAATAAAGTTCAATGCTAAGCTTGTTAGCACGAGTGTTCCTGTGGTTTTAGGTTCTCAAGATTGGCAAGGAGTCCCACCACAATTTCAGCAAGTTCAAGCCTAAGGAAGCTAGGGCATGGAAAATTGAGCAGTTACACAGGACTTTCAGGTCAGGAATCTCAATGTATTTCAACTGTTTTCCTCTCAATCTGCCTACCAGAAAGAAGAGAAAAGCAGAAGTTATTTCACTTTGAGTTCTATAAGTAAATGGCAGAGCAGTTATTTTTTTCTGGGAAAGCAGTTGATCATTCACTTTAACGGAAAGGAAGTTGGATAGGGCAGGGGACAGCAGTTAGTAGAGTCCCTTCTTTCTCTGCAACAAGATGACTCTGAAGAAGTCTCTAGAAATGCCTGAGGTCTCCCAGTCCCGGTGTGGAAGGCTTCCATTCCTGAGCCTGGGCAGGTGCAGGCTTTAATAGGAAGGCAGGGATTCTTTGAAACAAGCAAGAGAAAGGAGGCTAGACTGGTCACAGGTGAGGCTAAGAGCCCTCAAATCCTGGAAGGGAGCATAAACCTCTTCCTCACTGCTTTCTCAGGTGAGGTAGGCAAGAATGCCTGGGGAGGGGCTTAGCAATGCCAGGGTCTGTCCATCACTAGGAAAGGCCAAGGCTGAATCCGGGTTCTTCCCGAAAAACTCGAGTGGTGGCAGAATGAGTGGGCAGGCTGAGATGCATGCACTCAGACCTTCCTGGGCTAAAATAAAAGGGAGCCTCACCTGGTTCAGGTCTGGGATCCCGGGCTCCTCCCAGCTGCCAGAACAGAGATTTGGGAGGGCGTCTTCGGGGAGGAAGGTCTGTAAGGGGAGGTGAGCCAAGAGCCACGGGCTGGGGCCGGCCAGGGCTACCCGACCCCTTCAGCAGAGTCCTGGGGGAGCCAATGCGCAGCGTTGGAGGGAGTGGGTAGCAGCGACCCTAGCCTTCCCGGAGAGCCAAGCTACTTCCCGTCCTACTTCAGGTCTCAGCCACCAACCTGAGTGGCGGTGGAGGGTGAGAGATGACGAAGCTGGAACTTCATTCAGGGGGATTTCACGTCCCACTATACACCCCAAGAGGCCGGTTTGTCGAGCTTGGTAGCCGCGTGTCCTTATGTTTGGGATAGGAGGAGGCACAGATGGTGCCTTGGTCCTCGCCTCCCAAACGGAAAGAAGGGTGCCGGGAGCGCTACCCCCGGGCGACCACAGCGACAGAAACAGCTACAAGCGGAACCGAGAGTCTGGGAGTCAGGGCATGGCCCAAGCTTTGACTACGTGCCTTGGGTAACTCCGCCCCCGCCCCGCCCCAGCAAGGGCCGTCCCTCTAGATGCAGCCCCGGAGACAGTCTAGCTCTTTAAACGTCACCCAGGCCCTGGACGGTGCTTCCGCAAGGACCAGCCAATCCACGTAGACGTTTCAAAGAACCTTTATTTCACCATTCTTGCAGCGGTTATGTACAAGTACAACGAAACGGATGACCGGACCCCAGGGCCCTCCTGGACCCCTACAATATGACTCAGATGGTCAAGATAGGTCCCGCCTCACATCAACCCAATTAATTACACACATCCTGCCGCTCAGCCTCTACCCAGAAGCCCAGATAAAAACGTTTTAAATAATGAACAGCCTGGTTGGCTTGCAGTCTTAATCCTGGCTTATTTAATAGCATTCTAGAGTTATACTGTAAATAAACATTATGGCTAATGATTAATTAAATTCAGTCATTATAAATACCAACCAGGTTAAATAATACTATTTTACTATCCTTCCCCCTTCTGGCTGGGGGGTCAGGATCTTCTTTTTCTGGAAGTCATTTTCATGAACATACCTTCTAGTGTTTTTTGTAACCTCTTCCTTCACCAACTGTACCCAAGACTCCCTTCTGTAAACAGAGTGAGGACCTGCACCCCTGGAAGCAAGCTTTTCCCCACTCATCCTGGGGTTAAACCAAAACTTTTCAGTGTTTGCCCTCATTTAAGTTTTGCAAAATTCCAGCTTCTTTCTGTTCTAGACTCCAGGGCTAGATAGCCTTGAACAGATTTCAGACATTCAGGAAGTCGTCAGGATTTCTTATGCCTCATGCACACTCATTTGCCCACCCCTGAGCTTTCCTGACATTAACACAGGAGCCTGCCTTTCACTTTTCACATGTTTCTATTTCCCCCCACTCTACTGTAAATAAGATCTGCCCTGATGTAAGAAAAAAAGTAACTGTTAAATTTGCTTTTCCCTTTAATAGTTTGTCTTTCTCTATAAGATTAGCAAAATATCTCACACTACCTAAATTTTTTCCCTTAAAGAAAAATGTATGCAAAATTACTACAAGACACTGCTCAATACCACTATCATTGGTGGTTTAATTAGCACACTCCCCCCTACTTTCACTGAAGTGCAGAGACCCAGAAGGGAGATATTCTTAAATGCATCAATGGACTCTTTAGAAAACAACAGTGCCAATTACTAAGTCTTGCAGGGAAATGACCTTCTCCTTGAGAAAGAAGAGTAACAACATTCCTATTACCCTCTGGGTGTCATTTCAATCATTTCAATACACTAGCTATGAGGCTTGGGGTAGGGTAGAGAAATCATGAGTTAATTTTTCAAAACAACTGTCAGGGTTAATTTCTTTTAAAAAACCGACAACACATAACCCCATAAAAACATCCACATTAACCAAGAAAAACACTCAACTTCAATACAAGCAGAAAGAAAAATGGGTCTATAGGAAGTTCAAGTTATACTCTAATGCACTAAAATGGAAAAGGAGTTTTATCCAAATCAATTGAAAAGCTGTCTTCCTATTATTCATCCAATGTCTAAAGTGAAAACTTATGTTCTGGTCTTTGATCTGCTCCAAAAAAATACTGTAATACAGGTATCTTCTTGACAATTCAATGATGGGCTCTATACAGCTTCATCAGATTAAAAAATAAACAAGGGCTTCTACCCTGCACCCCAATGACAGAATAAAGATCATCTCCGAGCAGCAGGCAAAGTTATTTTAATACATGGTCACTCCTCAATAGCGTTGGCTGTACCAGTCGTTGTTGTTGACCTGAAGGAGTTCGGTGACAACTTGCAGGATGTTGTAATTGTGTTTCTTCAGCAGCCTCAGGTTCAGCTGCCTGTCACAGAATCCCATTTCAAAGAGATGAGCCATCAGGGCTGCTGTCTGATCTTCAGAAACTATTGGCTGTGTAGTCAAGAAAAGCAGAGTAACGTTTTCTGTACAATTTACATGTTTATCTTGTAAGTTATACTAATCTTTCCAGATTTATTCAAAATATTAGGTAGTTATATGCAAGGGTATGGCACTCCTGTCCACCTGATAGTAATGGCTCATCTGAGGGGAAGAAGGACGGGGAAGGCCGTTTTGAATTAAGTATGGTTTGTACCCGAAACCCAGCAACTAGTGAACTGTCCTTAGAATTAGGAGATACTTCAGAGGGGACTTTCAGAAGTATTCTATGGCCAGATAAAAGATGCAAACAAGCTCTGGAAACTCATGAAGGTAAAGGTAATAGTGATGATGGGGCAAGTATAAGCAAGAGAAGAGACTGGAAGTTACTACTGGAAATTGAGACAGATATGCAAAAGAGCTGGACAAAAAAACTGCTTGGAAAATTACATTCTGGGTGGCCTTCTTGGCTCTTATTTTTATTTTTTTAAGAATAGAAGCAGGGCTGGACCGAGTGGCACATTGGTTAAGAGTTGGCTTGGGACGCCAGCTCTGAGCAGCTGGACCCAGTTCGGATCCCACATGAGGGCCAGTGATGCTGTGCCCTCTACAGCTAAGATGGTGAACAGCAGCTCAACCTGAAGCTGGGCTGCTAAGTCGCTGGCGACAGCATAGGCTAGAGCCCCTGCTGCAGTCCAATGGCCAGCGAGCGACTGCCTCATTCGGGAAGAGCGCAATGATAATACCATCATGGGCCAGTGAAGCAAGGTCCTCCACAACTAGACTGAAGAACAAAAGGACAGCAATTTGTCTGTTCCCCTCCCCCAATTCCCCAATAAAATCTTAAAAAAAAAAAAAGAATAGAAGCAATCCAAGTAAGAGGGAGCTGACAGTCATTTACCTCTTTGGGCCAACCCCTGTGGTGGACATCTAATCTTCCTAAATCCTCGTAAGGCTTGCAATACCCTAATTCTTACCATTTACTTACTGTGTTATCAATTCCCTTATTTATGAAAATGGAGACACAGAATACCTATTTTGCAGGGGTGATGAGAGGATTAAGATGAGAAAGTATGTAAATATGTTGAGCACAATCTCTGGCATTCCCTTCTATACCTAATTCCACTGTTCCCTTCTTACCTCTTATTTCAGAATAAATTGTCCATCCTTCTTTCCAGATTAATCCCTTCCACACATACTTTGCTTTATATCTCATTATCTCTCACCACCTCAGAAATCTTTTTCTATTAATTGTCCTTTCATCTTGATTGTTAATCTTTGCTACTGGCTTGCCCATCTTTAAAAATGTCTCCCTCTGTCTACGAGGTGTGATCACAAAATACGGTGAAATGTTTAAATAAAAAAATGTATTACAGTGGAAGACACGTTGCTATTAATCCTCCTCAAAATATTCCCCCTCACTTCGAACTTCCTGCCACTTTCTGAAGCAGTTGTGGAAGTCCTCTTTTGTGAGTGTCTTTATAGTTGCACTGTCGTGGCTGCCTCGATGTCCTCAGTCAATTCAAAATGCTTACCTTTCATGGTCATTTTGACTTTGGGGAAGAGCAAGAAGTCGCACGGTGCCAGATCCAGTGAATAAGGTGGATGAGGACACACTGTGATGTTTTTATCTGACAGACATTGCCAGACCATAAGCGATGTGTGACACAGAGCCTTTCTGTTGTAATCACATTAATACAGTGAATACTGCTGCCAAGTGCCATCCAACGGAAAGGCAGTGATCTTCAATATGTGAAGCGGTGTGTCGAACCTTAGTAACAGTGTGAGACAAGTTTCTACTTGTTCGGTGCAGTCAGTCAGGTGTGAACTATGGTTGAGAGAGGCTGTGCTTTAAAGTGTGCTAGAAATCATCCTCCGTCATGACAATGCTCCGTGTCACACTGCTTCTGGTATATGTCAAATAAAAACATTAGTGTGTCCTCATTTACCTTATTCACCGGATCTGACTCCATGTAGACTTCTGGCTCTTCCCCAAAGTCAAAATGATTCAGGACATCAAGGCAGCTATGACAGCACAACTAAAGACACTCATGAAAGAGGACTTCCAGAACTGCTTCAGAAAGTGGCAAGAACGATGGGATAAAGGTGTTCAAAGTGAGGGGGAGTGTTTTGAGGGGGATTAATGGCAATGTGTCTTTTACTATGACACATTTAAAAAAATTTAAACATTCACCATATTGTTCGATCACACCTCGTATGTAGCGTAGCTTTCATTCTTTTTCCCTTTGTAACCCAGCTATTTTGAAAGTGAGGCATACTTGCACTCTCGAAGTCCTCTCCACCCATTCACATTTCTCTGCAGCATCTGACGCTATTGCCATGTCCTCCTCATTGAAACTCCCTTCCCTAAGCTCCAGCAAGAACTCTACTCATGTGCCTCCAAGTTCTCAATCTTCTTTGCAGGGCCTTCCTTTCCATAATCCTTAAAGGCTGCTTCTTGCTTTACCCATTCTTCCTGGAAAATCTCATCCAATCACACAGCTCCTGCTATAACCTGTACACAAGTGAGTTTATCTCCAGGCCAAATCTCTCCCATGACCCAGATGTACTACATATCCAACACTATGCAAAACTGACTTAGTTTTCTTCTCCTCTTGCCCAAATATATCCTTCTTCTTGCATGTTTTTTTAATAAATGTACTGTTGATTGTCTAAGTCAGAAACGGGATTTATCCTTGACTTCTTTGTAGCCATTTAATCATGGTCTCCAAGTTCTGCCATTTCCCTCACTTTACTTCTACCCTTCTTTTCCACCTACACATGGATTCTCAAATGGGTTTATCAGCTCCCCCAGCCTCAACACTAGTGATCTTACTAGGAACAAATCTGATCATGTTAACTACTTCCCTAGAACCTTTCAAAGGCTCCTCCCACTAGCCTTAAAATACAATAAAATCCAACCCACCAACACAGCATCCTGCTTACATAGTTAAGGTTTTTTCTCTTCTTACTTCTCTCAGGCCAAATTCACCTTCCAGACTCACATTTCCAACTCTTTTTACTGGCTACTCTGTCTACAATGTCCTTTTTAGCCCTCTTTCCTGGCAAAGTTCATTTGTCCTTTTCTTTCCTTTCTTTCTTTTTCCTTTCCTTCCTTCCTTCTTTCCTTCCTTCCCTCCCTCCTTTCTTTCTTTCTTTCTTTCAAAAGATTATTGGAGAATTGGGGGATGGGAACAGCGCTGGGGAATTGGGGG